TTAGATATAATATTCAATTTCATTTGAATTTTGAAAACATTTCCATAAAAGTTAGGAAATCAAATTTTAAAATAAATATTTAAAAAAAAAAATCATAAATAAGGAACTTGAACATTTTTTTGAAATTAAATATTTTTTGTGTGTTAAAAATAAAAATAACAAAAAGAATTTTTTTAATTGCGTATTAACGTGGTCGATGAAGAAGGTATATCCACACTTATTTCTATTTCTTGTTTGTAAGAAGCCCGGCTATAATGAGTCACCGAACATGGACCAACTTATGGTGATGTTCATACTGGATTAATATACGAAAAGATCCTTCAGTTTATTTCTATTGATTTATTTATTTATTTGTGCGATTACATTGAGAGTATTATGACTTATGAGAAATTTAAATATTAACAAAGTATTATGACTTATGCGACCAAGTGATTGAAGCATTATGGTAGGGAAGATTTCTTTTAAAGTGGAGGGGAACTAACAGGTTAAATGTTGGGTTACTGTTTAGGTTATTGTAGATGAATGTTTTTCACAATGTGTTGGCCTGTTGGGTTACTCATGGAGAATCAATCAAAGAAAGAAGAGAACAAACTCAGTGTACGTACATGTCTTAGGATTTTCATTTTAACTTGAGTTTGGAAAATATTGGGCCTGTTGGACCATGACTACTGTGGGTTAAAACTTGGGATTTCAGTTTTAATTCTTATCTTTCATTAACATATGTTTTTTTCATTTTTAAAATTAATAAGATGTAAAATGATACATATATTTTTGTGTAACAACAATTTTTATTTAAATATATATTTCACATATTTAAAATATAAAACATAATAAATCATTTCTATAATTAAATATTAATCATTAATTATTTATAAATAATTATTTATAATATATATATTTTTATAAAATTAAAACTAAATGACATTAAAATTATATTTAGTGTCGATCTTACTATCCATGTTGATATCAGATTTACGATTTTTTTATCCCCTCCCAATCTTAGGTAAGATTTCGACCTTGACAACCTTGCTTTTAACAATAATTAAGATATTTTTTTATTTTGGATTTAATTAAAAATTTATCTATTCAGTGTTTTTAAAAATAAAAAAAAAAAAATTTCATGACAAATTAACTGATAGAAACAGATTACTCAAACACACGGATCATGTATGTTGGTAAAATACGTATATAAGTATGAGAATGATCGTGCTTACGAATATAACTGTTCCAGCTACCTTCTTTACATCATAGCTTCATTGATCTTGCCACTTCACAGCCATCGCTTCCAAGGCGTTACCACTATTTTATTATATAATAATTGCCTACGTTCATATATTCATTAATCCATCACTCAAACTGCAGGAGAGGTAACATGCTTAGTTTAGACGTTAAAAATCTTATTTAACTGAACATAATTGCAATGACATAAGAATCTTAAAGTGGGACACAACTCATAGGGTAGGATTAGGTGGTGAAAATTTTCCCTACACTTTAAAATTAAGAGAGTGTGGAGGGGAACAAACCTAACCGCATTTTGATTTTCTTTGTTAATTTGACAATCATGACAAACTTGACCTCAACCAATCGAATTATTCAAGTACCTTTGACAAGGCATACTCCAAAAAGGTGATATTAGATTAATTACTAGTCCACTGCTGCATGTACATCTGTAAGATATCAGCTTCATTGCGAAGACTTTCTAATCTAAGGTTTTTTTTAAAAGGCTTAGCAGTCAACTTCTTGATGGAAAAGGAATCAAATCTAACTGCTCACGATGGAAATAAAGACTTGTTTTGCCTTTTAAGCAGCCATTTCCCTTGAATATATATATATATATATATATATATATATATATATATATATATATATGAAAAAATACTTCTCAAGCAGCTTGAGATAAATTTATCTTCGGTTACTCCAAAATTATGTTGTTTTATTTATTTATTTTCTTATATTAATTGATTCACTTTTGAATAGTTATGATTTCTTTTTTTTTTCTCTTCCTTTATCACCATTGATCCATCTTTGTACGGTTATGATTTAGTAGCCGGAGATAAAATTATCTCAAGCGGTTTGAGAAACGATATATGTTTGAGAAACGATATATATATATATATATATATATATATATATATATATATATATGGGCTTATTGTTTCTTAAGCAGCTTGAGATAAGTTTATCTCCGGCTACCCCAAAACTACGTCGTTTTATTTATTTATTTTTTTATATTAATTGATTCACCTTTGAATGGTTATGATTTCCTTTTTCTCTCTTTTCCTTTATCACCATTGATCCATCGATCTTTGTACGGTTATGATTTAGTTGCCGGAGATAAGATTATCTCAAGCAACTTAAGAAATGATAAGCTCTATATGTATGTATGTATGTATATATATATATATATATATATATATATATATATATATATATATATATAGGATCATAGGATCTTACACCGGTGTAAGAATAATAAATCTTACACCAAATCTTAACCGTTGATTTCCGTGCATCTAACGGCTGAGATTTATTGGGAAATAAAAATTAATTAATGAGTGAGACCTAATAAATCTTAACCGTTAGATGCAGAAAATCAATGGTTAAGATTTGGTGTAAGACTTATTATTCTTACACCGGTGTAAGTTGATCCTATATATATATATATATATGGGAAGGTTATATTTGCGAACTTTTTGTTTACAAACTCTTACAAACTACACTAAGTATGACCGGTCATACTTCAATCAAGAGTGTATGACCGTTCATACTTAATGTAATTTATAAAAAAAGTTTGTAATATATATATATATATATATATATATATATATATATATATATATGTAGGATATTCTTACACCGGTGTAAGAATAAAAAGTCTTACACCAAATCTTGGTCATTGATTTCCTTGCATCTAATGGCTTAATTATCTAATAAATCAGAACCGTTAGATATAAATAGAATCAACGATCAAGATTGAGAGTGTAACTTACACTGGTGTAAAATGATCCTAACCCATATATATATATAGGTAAAATCATTTTTGCAGCTGCTTTACGTACAACAACGACAGGTGTATGGTTATGATTTCTCACATTTAATGCTTTCATCCTTTGTATGTTTATGATTTCCCGCATTTAATGCTTTTAAGTATATATATGGCAAGTATTTGATTGCTGCACGTACAGCAGCTGCAGAAATGTAAACCCCATATATATATATATATATATTGATATATATATTGATAGGATCAACTTACATCGGTGTGTAAAGAATCAATTCAACCCACAAGTTTAAGCTGTTGAGTGAGACTACATTAATGATTATATATAACTCTAGCACTTACATGTGCTAAGAAATTCCACAGTACTGAACTAATTATTAACTAAATTGGCGGCGGTGACAATCGAACATGTGGCATCATGAGGTTGGGTGAGTCTACATTAATGATTTTTTATTAACTTAACCGTTGATTTCCATACATCTAACTATTAAGATTTAGTGAGAATCAATAATTAATTAACGAGTGGAACAATAAATTTATGTATATATCCATTTTTTTGGGTATCATATATGGAAAAATTAAAAATTCAGTCACTGGACGGTACAGTGCACTATGTTCTCCCGCGAGAACATAGTGCATAAATATTACAATGATGTTCTTCAGGTGTTCTCCCGGGAGAACATAGTTATAATTTAACTATAACTGTGTTCTCGCGAGAGAACATAGTGCACTTGACCGATTTTTATATCCAGTCACTGTACACTCACTAAACCCATCATATATATATATATATATATATATATATATATATATATATATATATATATATATATATCCTTACGTACGTACCATGGTTTCGGATTTTCTGCATATTTCAAAGATTTCATATTATGTCTTAGATAATCCATTACTAATTTACCGATTAATATCTAAATCCCTTTTTTATTAGGCTTTCTGGTACTCTATAGGCTTAATTAACTCATATTTCAAAGTAATTAATGAGGCTGCAATTTTGTCCAGAGATGGAGAGATGGACCGAGCAGGAAAGCATTTTACAAGAAATTTATTTGTAGATGAGACTAAGAGATATATCATATTAGAGTAATACTTTTATCGTGTACTACGAGATAATACTATCTTCCACTGACTCATTTATGCAAGTGGGGCCTACTTTCATGGGGGCAGAAAAAAAAAAGCGTGTAATCCATAATGAATTTGTGTGTGTAGAAGATAGATTCTATCTTATGTAACATAAGACTAATAAATCCAATCATATTAATATCCTAATTCTAGTACCTTTCTAGCAATGCTAAAGTCATATAACTAACCGTGTTTACACTCAGAAATGGGCACTTGATTATAGTAGAATAAGCATCTTTCTGCCAAGCAACACATCTGTCATATGGAAAATAGAAATTGAGAATAAAAAGGAATGAGCATATTGATGAACCAATTAATTTGGTGGAGACTATCCGTCTTGAATTATTTCAGAATATAATATATTTACATTGAAGGTGGAATGAAGGAGGCGGGAATTTGATTTACGTGCTTGGTTACTCGTGCCACCTTTATTCAAACTATATACAGATAAATCATAAAGCAGTTAATGATTCTTTTCTGCAAGCAAGCTTGTAATTTAGACCTTCATGCCTCTTCTACTCTTCGTACACCTTTTTTGGATGGTCTAAGTTTTCCTCTTCTTTTCCTTTAATTAGTTTTATTGGAAGCAAACAACATAAAAGCCAAAGTTTATTTGAGCAAAGAACATATATCTATATAACTGTCGAAAGTGATACTGTCATACTGACCTTCAAACCAATTTGATGAAACTGTCCCAGTTATGTACAAAACATGTATTGACATATGAATACGAAAATATATCTATATATATTTATAATAGGGCCTATATATATGCTAATTAAGTGGTAAGAAGAAAACAATAATCTGATGAAGGCATAACACACACACACACCACATTCAACCTCTCTCAGATTAAATACTAAGATAACTCATGCATAATGGGGTCCTCGAAAAATAGTTCAGACCAATAAGATGAGGGTCCTCCTCCATAGCTACAAGTGCTGCTGCTTGCATCACCTGGATTGGTAGTTGAGGTCCCTGTCGCATTTGGAGGAATAAATGGAGCAGGAGATGGAATTATCCAGGACAAGTCATCAGCAGTGTGATCCCCTTGACTTATCATTGCAAAGTTAGTAACTTGACCCTGCTCACCATTCAAACATGATTGGGAACTAAAAGAGACTTGTGGGTCTAAAAAGTGAGGTAACATGCTTGGGTGGTGGAGTGGTTGGGAGCTAGCAATCCCATGAGAAAATGAGGCTTGAGTATCCAGTTGTGAATTAGTACAGTATATAACTGGGTTCTCTTTAACATTAGAGATTGAGTTTAACAAATTGTAAGGTTCCATGTTTGTGATGGCATTTTGATCATAGGAATTGGTACTTAAGGAATTTGAAGATTGGAGTAAATAATTAACGTATTGAAGCTTTGCCAGCTGAACTGCCTCCGCTTGTAACCTCACAGCCTGTTCATCCAATGACTGATGATCCATAAGGTCTGTCATGTTGGCCAAAGCTAGCAGATATGGCAAGCTGGAAACAAGGTCAGTTCTTGGTTGGTGAGTCATTGGATCAAAACCCATCTGAATTAACTTTTTCTTTAAATGAGTATTCCAGAAGTTCTTGATCTCATTATCTGTCCTCCCTGGAAGATGGGTTGCAATTGCTGACCATCTATTAAAGAAGTATGTGCATAGAAGTAAGTCATAATTAACATTTGAATAAAATAAGCACAAAACAAAGAGTCCAATAAAACATAATTGGAATTTCTCTCCATATCCACTCTTCTCTTCCCCAAAAACAGAAGTAAGAAGTCATTAACAATTCAAATAATAATAGTGGAGATAATAGTACTATAGATTGCTCCAAGGATGGAACGGAAGGTACTTGTTTCCAAGGATGGAATGGAGATGCAGAATTGATTGCTCCTCTTCTTGAGAAAATTTCCCCCTCTTTATGTCAGGCCTTAGATAGTTGGTCCACCTTAGCCTACAACTTTTTCCACATCTGTTAAGACCTTCAAAATTGCAAGAAAAGTAGATGAATGAGGAAACATTGAGAAGAGAGAGATCTATATATAGTTGCTGCAACATAGAGCCATAAAACTATATAGATTTACAAACCGGCTAGCTTAGGGAGAGCTCTCCAACTTCCATGGCCATGTTTCTGAATGTGCTGGACAAGCTTTTGATCTTCTTCAGGAGTCCATGGTCCTTTCTTAAGGCCATTCTCATCGCAGCATGGGGACCTTCCCATTGTGTTACTAGATTCAAAGCTAATATTGTGTCTTCTGTTACCACCAAATTAAACTAGGGGCTGAGGCATACTATTTATATATCCATTCTTTTTGCTTGCTTCTTGTCGTTAATTATCTGGATTAAAATAAATATTTCACAATCTTTATTAGACTGATGAAAGATTTTGACACTTCCATCTCGTTAAAGTATGAACAACAAAATGTCTCATGCTTTGACAAGTATACCCATTAAAATATGATTGTTAAACACCACACGACACCACTTTACTAATCAACGAGTCCTATATAAATGATAATATATGGTGACCAGATTCTGAGAACTTTTACATAACACCTAAACTATTTTTCAGGAAGGACAAAATCCATAACGTATTTAGAATTCCAATAGTAAAAAAATGCCGCGTTTCACTTTACATGCAATCTTTTTACACCAGTCATGGCAGTTTGATTGAGTTCATTTTAGATCACCTCATTGAAAACTCAAATTTTATTCAGTTTCTAAATGGTGCAAAACCATTTTTTCAAGTTAATCAGATTGGCTCTTCAAAGCAGTGGTGGAGGCACGGAGGGGGTAAGGAGGGGCGATCACTCCCTCATCTTTATCATAAGCTACGTACATTCAAATTTAAGATAAAGATAATGTAATATAAATTTCCCCCTTCATTTTTTATTATTTCTTATATAAATTTTTTTTAATATTTTTTTAAATTTAGCTACTATCAAATCTACTACTGTATTATGATACCTAAGATTTTTTTTGGCTCTGCCATAATTTCTTCACGGCCATAAATGTTTCTTCCCCAAGCTTCTCTCCGTGTAAAATTAGAAAATGAAATAAAAAGTTCGACATTCGTACATGAAATTAATGAGGACAAATCGGTAATTATGGACTAAACATTTATTTATTTTCAATTAAAGGATTAATATTTCTCATATTGAGATAATTTTATTTCTTATATATATATATAAAAGTGTGAGAGATCCATGTGAAGAGAAGAGAGAGAAAAAGAAAATATGGTCTCACATACGTTTATGTGTATATAAAAAATAAATTTATCTCATACAACATGAGAAATAATAAACCCTTCAATTAATATGACATTTAAAGTAGGGTTTAATATTTCTCATATCGTAGAAGATAAATTCCTCTCCTATACCTATTATTCCTTTTTTTTTCTTCTCACATGAATCCACATGGCCATACATTTTTATATATGGATAGGAAATAAATTTATTTAAAAAACATTTAACCCAAAGTAAGACGAAACTTGCAAATTAGATCACGTAACACGTGGCGAAAGAATGCTTGTCGGAGGAAGCCCTCCCATGCACGCAAGAGGAGGCTGTTTCCCTCTTTCGTCATGGTTTGCATGGCATCGAAAAACTCACGTCCTCTCTTCTTGGATTTCATGCTCCCTTTTCCCCTTAGGGAATCATTCAGTCAACAATACCAGGAAATACTGTACATATATGCCTATGATTAGTACATCACATATATATATATATATATACAATATTATATCTAAGTAACTCAAAGTATATATACATGCATAAACCGTGTGAGTGTCAGCTATGTTGTTGCTTTCTTTATTTTATACAATCACTCACCACACTTATCATTTATTTATTTTTTGAGAGTCTATGCTTTTTTTTTAAAGTGTTGCCAGATATATATCATCACAAATTAAATTATTCCAATTTTAAAAAATGAACATTAAGAAGATCGACATTTCTTATTTAGCTTAATCTTCTGGTTATATTACATTTATATTGTAAACATCACCATTCAGCAGACACTCAAACACATATTAAACCACAAGCATGTGCGTCTAGGTCAAGTTGGCACGTAAAATATAGACACATGCTATACACCTTCATGTGAATATCTAAACAGGTAAACGAAAAAATCTATGTAAGTTGTTGAAAATAGATATAGCTATAGACAAACTATACCTAGCGATCAAAAGCCTCGAGGCCAAAAAGTCAGGGCAGACCCAAGGTACTATTACAGATAGCTCATTGTCTGAAAAGGACATAAAGGATGTGACTTATTTGACTAGGAGGGTGGTGCAGTTGGAGACGTGAAGAAGAATTTGGTGCAGCAAACGACTAACACTACACCAATTTATTTTTAACCCTTAAGACATTCTTTGCACGGTTGAGAAACCTTCAATGGCGTTTGTTGGTTATTTGTCCTCATGCACCTTGTTCTGTTGCAAATTTTCTTAGCCATGTTATACTTCTACATTTTAAACGCAATACAAAGTAAAAGGTTATCGCTTAGTACAAACCAAGTGTTTTAAAAGTTGGCCAAAATGTGCAATCCATCGTAATTGTATCAACCAAGTCTCACGATGTTTGTAAAATGACGCTCATTTTGCTAGGGTTTTAGAGCAGTGTAGGTCTGTAGTTGGCTCCTTTTTTGAATCCGAATCAGACTCATTAGAATTTAAAATCATAAGGAAAATAACGTTGACCAGGATCAAACATTTTTTTTTTTTTTGGATAAAACGATCAAAGAAAATTCTTTAATTAACTAAGTGATTAAACAAAATTCTGCTATTACGTCAGGAGACCAACCAGTATTTTCAAAACCTTAAACATGTAGATACAGGTATGAGAATACAAATTTTTTATATATCTCTACGGAAAAATGGTGCTCCGCGTTGCTTAATACAGAAGCCACACATTTTCAAACCTAAGATTTATTCAATTTAATTATTTAGTGTCGACATCTATATGGAACAGCGAACGACCAAATTAGAGAGACCATTATTTAATTTTATTTTTTAGAGAGATATAATATAATGCAAAATCATTGATCGGTCTTTACTTTATAAAAATGGGCCAATGCAATATCAACAACAGGTGAAACCCAAAGATTTTTGCGTGAAAGGGTGTAGTAGAAAAATATAATATAATTAATATAAGGGATAGGTTATTCTGCCTACTCTTATTTTGTCTACCTTTGCCTATCCTTTTCAATACCGTTACATTACAATCTCGTCCAACGGTGGAGATTTATGATATAAAATAAACTCTTTTATCCCTTTTTCTCTACCACTGCCTCTCACTCTTTCTCTCTCCTCCCCTTTCTCTCTCTTCAATGGTGCTTCAGCATCAAAAAAAAGATACAAGCTTTTTTCTCAATTCATCCAACTCAGCCACTGTTATGAGCATTTAAAAAATTGAAAGTAAAAAAGAAATAAACCCAGATTCCCTATGTTATTGAACCAGGTAGGCCTATTGTTGGGCTTGGGCATAACATAGAGATTCTTTCCGCGCTTCAAGGTGAAAAACAAGATAAGAAAAAGGAGATAAGTTAATTCGATTTCAAATTTCAACAACAAAGTAGAAACATTACGTTAATCGTACATTAATTCAAAGGAAGAGATTATTCGTGGTTTTTGTTTTTGTTTTTTGTATTTTTATGATTTCTGCCATGTTCAATTATATCAAATTCAATGAATTTTGAAAATTATATTCATCCAGCAGAACTATCATGCCATTAATCATTGCATGAATTTAAATTTAAACATAAATTCAGGTTGTAAATTACGCAAATTGATAGAGAGAAAGAGGAGGAGAGAGAAAGAGTATGGGAGATAGCGAGAAGAAAGAAAGGGGAAAGAGTTTATTCCGCAAATCTTTATCGTTGGATGAGATTGTAATTTAACAGTGATGAAAGAAATAGGCAAAGGTAGGCAAAATAAGAATAGGTAGAATAAGAATAGGTAGAATAATCTATCCTTTAATATAAAACTATTGATAGTTTTTAGATGAGATGACTGTTTATTATTGTTTAGTATATATTTAAGTCATTTCCAATTTCTTGTTTGTATGTCGCAAACCTCATTGTCTTTACCCTCTCGATCCTAATAGCATTTGTTAGTAAATGGTTCATACACACAAAGGCTTTGATCTTTCAGCCAAAGCATTATGTCGGGGACCATATTGTGTGTTCAAATGAAAATAGAAGGGACCAGTGATGTAAGATCAACTTTATAGTTTCAATATAATATCACCTTTGATTTCAGTGTCAGCTAAACAACTGATTTGCTTGCTGTAATGGGTTTCCAACCAATACATCCATAAAATGTTTAAAACAGATTCGACGCCACCTAGTTAGCTTATAGTCTTATACTACCACACTTGCCAGGAACATATATATGTGTCTTTGTCCCCTATAAAGGGAATTCTCCCCTGGCTTGAAAGACACTATTCCATCACTGAATGATCTGTGTATCTCTTTCCTTCTAATACCTTACAAAAGGTAAAAGCTTAAATATATAGGCTCTAAAATGATAATTTCTATCAGGATTTAGCGAATAAAACAAACTTGATGGCATGAAAAATAAATAATGTGTTCTACTGTATGTTAAACATCTATCTCACTTCAAGCAACAGTAAACTTGAAGCGTGAATATTACACATATTATTATTATTTTTTGTTTCTACCTTGTACTAGTAAAGCTACCAATTCAACCCAGCAGCTCAAACTGTTAAGATATGCTTGTAATAATTTTATATTATATATTTAAATCCCACTAAATTGATAAATATCTACAATATTAATTAAACGCATGAGCAAGTTAGAGTTGTTTTTATTGCATGTGTTCATATACATGTTTGAGTAATAACATAGTTAATTAAGGGCAAGTGATGAGGTAACTTGTATAATGCTTCATTGATAACCTACTCGTCACCAAGAGAAAACTTATCTGACTATGGTTTGTCCCAAGGGAAACTCTAACTTCACCAAGATCTTACCAAATTCAGTCAAGTTAACTCCTTTTCCAAATTGATTATAAACCTTTTTTTCAAGAAAATCATCATTTATAATATACATCTTGAGTTGTCAAGAGGCTACTCAAAATTACTAATACTGTATTACTACTACGAAACTTCTATATCATTTGTACGGCAATGTCAAATTGTTCAGGGCACCTCAGTATTTGTCATTGATGGGCCCAGTGAACAAGAGCTCAATCAAACTCCA